TACCATACTGATAGCGTTTCCAATTTCATGCGATAGAACCTGTATGATGGGTTCTGATATAACCGACAGAACAAACATGTGAATTGAACCCACGAGAAATTATTAGGAACTCACCCATACCACTGGCCACTGTAAGACTAGAAAATCTTATCGTTAGTGAAACTAACGGAAGAATCCAGGGATACATAACGAAAAAAAGGTGAGCTAGACCATACAAATCACTGCACTGCCTTACACAGTAAGTATATGTAAGGTGTACTAAAGTGTGTCGTTCGTTTACCATTAGACGCATGGTCAAAGTCTATGTGGTTTGGTGTACAGGTAGCGATCAGACAATTATACAAGGTACGCATTTTGTTGACATAACTCATGAGGTGTCTCAGGTGAATATGGTTTGTGGATTACCACCATTCTATACAGAGGCTCCCAACCTTAACTATGCTCTGTCTGTTTCACGCCAGATGACCTTCATTATGTAACCACTAGTCTGTTTACATAATTCGGTGAGTGAGTTAAGCAATTCACACCGTAACAACTGCCTGAAAGTTCAGAATACCCTTACCAGGAATGAAAACGATGTAGATGGCTTACTCAACCAATCGGTAAAAATTTTCGCTCTGATAATTGAAGTAGGAAAAATTTGGTGATGATTTCGGACGACTTTATTTCCTTTCATCAAATATTATGCCAGACTAAGGCTCAGATGTTTCCAGTAAGTGGGTTTTCAGGTAGGCGGGGTCCTCGACCAAACATTTAATTTGAAAACAAATCGGATCAGTTGGTGTAGTACATTCATTTGCAACGTAATTTGGCTTTAGCAGCTAATGAGTCCAAGAACGACGAAACCAATAGTGGACTAAAGAAAATTATTCATCGACCTTATGGGTAGTGTTTCTTAGGGGCGGTATAAAAAACATATCGAATATCGTACCAGACACAGCATGAAGGGACCTTTGTGCAATACATTCAGGTGAATAATCTCGCAAACACGCCATTCACTTGAGATTCGATTGGGTCACCCTTAGTAACAAATTAGTTTGAAGCCGAGTTTATTTCGAGCAGTACTGTGCTCTATTCATATGACGTAAGGAGTTGATACCGCTTTTCTTGAATGATTTTTCTAGTAACCTTCAGCTAATATTCGTTGCGTGGATAATCAGTAGTACGGCAAGTAGTTACAAGTGCGACCAAAATAGTCGCAAGTCTGTATTACCTTCTCACATACGGTTCTTGTATGCAAACCATTATTTGATGGTGGCGGGGAACTTGATTTATATCACCCAGTTTACTGTAATGAATACATTTATTTCCAAAATTCCAAAATGTTGTTTTTGCTAATTCTATCTGTTTTAATCAGTGTGTAAAGCAACGGAACAAGAAACAGCTGATGACAGCAATACTTTCATTGTGGATTTATAGAATTTCTTCCACATCTTAGAGGAGAACATCCCCATCGAATTTGAGTGTAAAAGTTCCTAGTTGTTCAACGCGGATTTGTTCGGCCTCATTTTTCAAGTGACTGGAAGAGTGAGCAACGAGTCCAGCTAATGGGTAGTGTATCTGGTATTGTATCGGTAATGAAACAGAGTGCACTGCAAGCAGCCCAAAACGCCGTTACTGTGCAAGTATCATCCAAAAATTCAAGCACGTGATTTAAAAACTATTTCGTACCAAGGTGACAAGCAAGAAGAAAGAAAATCTGGGCGCCCGTGCTATCCTAATCCGTACGGCTGATTTAAAAACCCATCGTGTTTTAGACAACACCGGAAGGAGAGTTTGTTGATAAGCACCAAACTTTGTTACACAATAACAGCAACTGATACTATGATGTGAATTTCGAAATTATTACTTGAACAGTAATTGTGAATTTCTCCAGAATAGGAATGTCGGTAGATATGTCGCTGGACATTCAGTAGCCAAGACATGATCGTGGAAACCAATCGGGATAGAGTCCCATTTCGATCACTACACTGGTTTGTAGCTGGAGTCCACGCGAAGAGTGTCATCTAGTCCGTTCCGCAAATTGCTCATATGCTTCGTCTCCATTTTTAGAGTCATCATCAGTCCATCATGGTACAACTGTAGGAAAAGTCGTATGTGCGCAAATGAGTGGTCCGCTCTAGCCAAAATACAAGAGATCGCTCGCATATCTAGAAGTCCAACCCTATATTCGAGCGAAATGTGGGACCTCGAAGTTAATAGCATGGTTCTCAATATACAGAAGAGTGCCACCATCGCTCAAAGGGTGTTTGAAAATGCACCTATGTATTTTCATGTGAAAATCGTGAGAGTAATCGCGGGGTACTTCCCAAAATCTAGATGGGGCGTACATTAGATTTAGTAACCAACATTTTAGTTCCGCGACTGTTAAAGTCACCTTACATCAGACAAATGTAATTCCTAATTGTTGGTAAGACAATAGCAGCAAAGCGAAACGTGCAGAACAGATAACTGTGAGTAAAAGCACAATGATCGCGTTTTACGCGAAACACGTAAAAAGCGTGTCATGATAGCCCTTAGGATACCTGAACTAAAATGCAGTTGGAGGGCGTCATTTTCTTCATGATGAACGCATTGAAGAGGACAGGTTGTAATATGGTCACATGAATGCTGCGCCCATGCACGAACAATCTCAACGCGTTTTGTGGGACTCACTTTATGGAAAATTCTCTGCACAGATGGATATGAATGCCATAATAACACAGTCCTGAGTAGGGAGCCAAACAGCGGTGAACACGTTCGTGTAATTTATAAAGATAATGAAATCAACAAGATGCAGAACCACTGTGAAATTCCAACGTAAACGTAAGCAGGATGACTCCTTGGAAAAACCTGAATTTATCCAGAATTTTCCAGTTTTTTGTGGTCTGGTTGTGTATGGTGAGTGCATTGAGGTATTGTTCTACGAGTGACAGAATGGAACGGCATTCAGAAACGAATTAGTTTAAAACCATGTGTAGTTCGCGAATAACGTAATAGATGTCTGCGTGGTGGTCCCAGAAAGCACCCGGAGAAGCGAACCTTGGATAATTGAATCGAAAGCAGGCGTGATCACATAAGTTACCATGAGTCAAGGCTCCGAGATTAGATGTGCTAGGTAGGCTGGTGTATCAATAATGAAACTCTTTAACTCATGGTCAAACTGGCAAGTGACAGACCAGGGACTAAATTCTAGTTAGTAATAGTCAATTCAGCATGTTCAGTGGGGAGAGGTAATGTGTACGCAACAACAAAAATTTGAAACGTAAGCACGATTATCAATCCGGTAGCTCTCTACAAGTTGAGGGTGTGTGGTTCTTCAGCAACGTTATTAAAAAAGATGGAATTCCGTTTCATGGTGATGATTTATTGTAAAGGCCCCTGATTGATGCCTTGCTTAGTAGTTTGTCCAAAAGAGTAAGTCCCAATTTAGTATCTTCCTTAGTGGGAGTCCTTGGCGGCGAATGAATGATTTCGCTTAAAGATTTATCCGACGAAAAAAATTTGTATTTTACCTTGCGGATGGTGTGATCTTTAACGGTGAGACAAAATGCTGAAAAAGAGTGGTCCGTCTAGAAGTGTGGTGTTTAATAAAGATAGGGTAGTGCTCGGACATCATCGTCCTTCCAAGTGTATGTGCATTTTCTCCGTGAAGAACGGGTTCGCTGAGTGCACCTAAATTGACATAATTTGAGCTTAAAAATGATAATGCACAATTCGAACAAAATATAGGTAAGCCAAGAGTGAGCCTCAATAAATGGAAAAGTTGCCATTTTCAGACATTTACTAGTCCGTCGTTTCATCTTTGTGTCAAAGATGATTCAAAGTTTACACTCCGCTTCCGAATAGTGAGTCCTCTCGTATGTATCACGAGCTCATCTTACACGTTGAGCAAAGCTTGAGAATAAATCTGATCATGTATTTGTCATACGTCAGCGACGACACTTTCGGTTTGCAGATTTGGGTATGTCAGTGTGTAACGGAAGTGTAGTGGAGACTAGTCTGGTTCTCAGTTGAGGAGTTCACAACGTTTGATCAGTTAATTTGCCTGCTATTCTTTTTCCTCGTTAAGGAAAGTCAGTGAAGTTGAAGGGAAAGTTCAAGGTTTGTACAGGATAGACAAGTTTATTCAATTAAAAAGTGTTGTCAACTCCAAACATGATGTGAACAAACTACGACCTGAAACATGAGCAGACTTTACGCAGTACGTTCAGTTGTAGAGTATCGTGAGCGACAGATTCGGCTGGAGCTCGTTTGGTGCTTTCGATACAACCACTACGTTCTGCAAATGATTTCATTTCGCCAGGTTTGTTTAGCGTATGGCAACTCATCTACACCGAACTTTTCCAGTTCAAACGGAAACAAGTTTCCGTAAGAAGTCATAAAGCATTGTATGGGTGAACCACAGAGAAAACGGCGATTATTGGAACTCGGACTGTTAAATGGCTAACTGATATTTGTGTAAGTAGTTAATAAAGTAGAGAAGATTATACAGTTGATTTCAGGATGTTTGAACATATATCAAGTCCGTCATGGCCGTATTTGGTGAATTAGAACCAAAAGGTCGGAACTGTTTTGTGGGCTGCTTGATACATATATCTATCGTGCAAACAATGGGTTTGCATGACTTGCGTCAAATAGTTGACACAGTTCGGATATCACTCCGGAAAATCCGTCCTCCAATAGAAATAGATAAATGTTATATGTGCTTTGACCACTGCGTGGGACTGTGAACGCGTTTGGGAACCCCTTGCTCATCGCCAACCCAAAGATAGCCGCTTTAGAATATTGTCTCATAAAATGCGTCCGAGTGGCAAAGTCCAAACCCTCGCACCATCACAGCATGCTAAGTAAAAGCGACCTATGTTCCCCTACTTGCTCTCCAGGTTCCATTTGGAGGCTGTCGTCGTGAGTTTGGTGTCAACCCACATGGAGTACGATGAGATATTTTGTACTGAACATGTCCGCTATATAAGCCAAACTATTCGCTCCAGAAAAACGAACAGTTTATTGTGTAAACCATGAAAACCTTACTTATACAAACAGTAGTTTCCACGTTACTTACAACTGTCCTATCAATTGTGCAAAGTAAGCCTGTCTTGACCTGGTTGCATTTTTTGTAGAGAGTATTTGTTTTAAGTTTGATTATTCCCACAATCCGATAATTCCTTTGTTGCTTTCCCCAGTGATTTTGCTGTCCCAAGCTATCAGGGCTATCTGGGTGACAGATTCGTTAATCTATCGTGTTATTTGACCTGAGCAGCAAAGGTGAGACTATTCTATCTGTGCTTAGAAGCAGTTCAGACGTGTGCAGACAACCGTAGTCACTGAATTATCAAATCTTTAGAGAATGTATTAGATTTGGACCAAATGTGGTGTGTTTCGCATCTAGGCAAATGAGTTTCTATCTCCACTCTCTTTGCATTATATCCATGCAGCGAGAGAATGGGTTGGCAAACGACGGAAATAGGCAAAATACTACTGGTCACCGTGATAATTCTGCTTGTTTAACAAATCAAATGAAACAAGATTATGGGCCAGTAACATGACAATCCACCATTTGAGCCAAGCTTCGTAAAACACGGAAAAACCAACTTGTTTTGTTAGACAGTGGTGAAGAATAGCTTGATATACGGTGATTAATATAGTTTTTTTCGTACAAACAAGGAGGGTTATGGTGGCCGAATCAATGCTCAGAAGGCTCTGTGGCGACTGTTTCCGTAAAGTTGAGCTTCAAAAGAAAACTAAGTTGTTCCAGTTTTTCGAAAGAGTTTTTACGTAGCGTTCTAAAATTACCGAATCTCTGACTGAATGGAAAGCGAAATGCCAAAAGGTTAACTTCCATTAGATGAACAAGCGGGATTAAAGGACTGGCAATTATGGACTTCTGTGGAAGCCACTGAACTGAGACAGCATCCGAAGAAAGTTATTCGGGTTTTTTCAGGTTTTTTGAAAAGTGATCAAATTTTGGCACAGCTTACTACTGTCTAACCCTTTCTATGGCCCACTAATTTGTCACGGTTTTCAAGCTGTGGAATAATCAGTTATCGAACAGCAGTTTCAGAAAGAATGTTCACTGCCCATCTTTAAGACAAAAATCCGATGTAGCCTGCATGTCGCACACTGTCGAGGGACGCCAGTGTAATGTTCTACTAGATGGACTGAGTTGCCTGTTTCAACTATCATGTTATGAAGGCAACTTACAAGACGTTGGAGATATGGACTTTAAAAGGGTTAAAATAATTGTGTGAATTACGGAGTTATTCCATTGAACAGTAATTCCAACAACCTAACTCTACAAGATTTAGCAGGTTGAAGCGATAATATCCGCTTGTAATACACGTTAAGTGTGTTGCCAGAAAGCGGCAGAGTGCGTCGGTCGGTTCACGTGACTCAAGTGCTTTCGACTGACTCTTGCTTAAACTAAACCTCTGGATTTTCTAAGCAATGACCCAGGATAATCTGCTCTTAACAGATTACCTGTCTTCAAAGCTTATCCAGAAAGTGTCAGAAAAATACGTGCAAGGTCATGAAAACTGAATGCTATTGCTTCTGCGCTGCGCTAACAAGAAGATAATAAATTGTACGACATATAAATGCAAACTGGAAACAGCAGTTCGAATCTGACGGAGGCCAATAACGATGAGATCACTGCCCTTGTTTGTCTGCCTTATTATGATAGCTAATTGCGCAGCGGAGGATTCAGGTGAGTGTCGATTCTTTCAAAATTCTGCAAATTGATTGTGGTTGGTGAAACAGCTCTCAGGGAACTCGTGCTTATGCTTCCATTTTATTTAGCTGTCTTCCAGATAAATTGTCACATCAGTTGTTTTCACCACAGTGCGTGACAGTATACATTCACGTCAATTCTTTAAATCAGAACGAGCTTATTTTCTCACAGGACAGAAGCACCAAATACAAACTGCGTGAACAGAATCGCTATTGCTAAACTCTAGATCACTGCCAAGCGAACAGATTGCGATGTAGTAACTATCTTATAAGCCAATCGATGATGGAAATGATACAAAAGGCACTTCGGAAAAACTGTCGTTATGGAAATGAGCATCACCCGCTTCTTCTCAACTACAAGACGTTTGTCTTAATGCCTACAAAAAACGGATCCAGCTACTTCATCCTTGATGAGCGCACAATACATTAAAACGAAGTTAAAATATCTAACGCAATGAAATACTGAAAGATATCGGAGTCATCGGGGGTAGAAGTGGACTTTTCATCTCAAGAAATGCCACCCATAAATACTTGGCTGAGTATTAGTTAGATTAGATTACTCAGAGGCAACAAAGGGTTATATATAAGAAATCATGATCCATACCTCTCATAAAACTAACTGGTACATCGATGACCGTCGGTATCTTCAGTCTAAGAGGACTCAGAAATTCAGCTTGGTCACACTGAAGAATAGATACTGATCAACCATTGAGGTTGCCTGCATACCCAAAGTCACTGTGGCTTGGCGGACTGAAAGTTTCTGGCGTCCAGAATGGACCAGAATATTGATAGGATAGTGTATGCTAAAAAATCGAAAGTAATGTACAGCTGTTTGATCTCATTCTGAATCATCGGCAGGGCGAATCTCACGAAACTTCAGGCTTCCGGATAGTAGGTTGAGCGGTTAACTATTGGGCTGCGAACGGTTCTTCAGTACGGTGATCGCATTGAAACAGGACACAGCACCACTCATTCTTCAATCACGTGATGGCGTGTTGACTGGACGTAATCTCAGTTGAAAATTATCAGACCTCTTCACACTACCAGCGCTCTATCAGTAGCTTATGAGCACTATTTCACAAGGGGCGTGAAGCTCCCATCTGAAAAGCCATCACTCAAGCAGCCGGTCAACACGTGGCCACTTGCTACGGATTCCGTGATTGAAGGGTGAGCGACGCTTGTGTCTAAATGAGAGTTAATCACAGTGCTGATGAGCCGCTCGTGACCGAACCACTAGGTGTTAGATCCTTAGTCAGGAGGTCACGAGTTTAAACACACTGGAGTTCCATGAAATGCGCACTACTAATGATTCCCAATAAGAGTGAAGCAGCTGTTCAGTACTTCGTGACTTTTTTAGCACAGACCGACTTCACTTAGGAGCCCTAATTGAGAGAGTGGTGACAACCATTCTCAAATTCAACAGAGCGGTGAGAAGTTTGCAGCTGCTTCTAGCATAAATACTGTGCGCAAAATACCTGCAAAGCAGCGCCATTACGGTTAAGCTGTACAACGTGAACCGTCCTTCCTTTTTGCCGCGTCGATGTCCCAACGACTTCCTCACATGCATGTTGTAAAAAACCATCTCGTTCTTTCGAGTTTAAATATCCTAGGAGGCTGTTTCACGGGTTAATTAATGACGGCTAACCGCATCTATTAGCAGAGAAGCTGAATCCACACTAGACTGATCTAGAAGTTAATCGGTACACCTGATGAGGAGAGGCCCCCAGTCAGTCACCACTGAGCAGATATATTCAAGATACCGTTTACTAATTGCGTCATATCACTGGAAAATCTGGCAGTAGTTTATTTATTTGTCACGCGTCATTGGGAATGCTTGAGCGAAACTAGAGTCATACAAATCCATACAAAGATATTCAACCACGTGCCAAACCTAGTGGGCTAGTCATCGTCAACTATCTGGCACTCAGTAGTAATCAATCCATTGGGCTTTTGCAAGTGAAGAAGCGTTTCAAAACCGAAGATTCATAGAATAATGTGTGATAGGTTGAGTTGTGCGTGACTTCGCTGTACATTGGGAGACATATCATGTAGTATGCTCTTTCGAAAAGTCACAACACGTGTAATTCAATATACATGTATCCCATTGCCCCAAATAAATGTAAACAACGACTTTGGATCCGATGACTAGTGTGCTCAATGTTCCACACCTGTGGAGCGTCATCAAGACTGATGGTGTTCTCTACTTTGCCCCAACATGGTTATTCAAACACCTAATTTCAAACCAAACTTTAGATGTCGTCGATCACTACATGCAAGTCGAAATTAATTTTACAGGAACTGTAGTGTTTTCTGTGCCAAGATTTCTATGGAGGCTTCGTCTATTAAAACTGCACATTTTGGTGGCCTCTTGAAGACAGCAAATTGTTCGAATAGGCCTACTTCCGAAATCACCGAACGCCTCGAACTGAAAGGTCCTACGTTATTATTAGCTTCCATTCTTCAACATGCGGCAACTCGAAAGTAAATCGATGCTTTACTTTCTTCGAATGCAGATATATGAACTTTTCTTTCTGTGATATCCTGAAAATCTCTTACGTTCGCTGCAATTATGGGTAAACATACTTCTTGGTCTACGTTACTGAGCCACTACAAGACAAAATGCACCCAGTGATACCGGGATCGGAGCATCAACGAAAAGCAAGTGATATCACAGTGGACGCATGCACGAAACAAGAGGCTCTCATATAATACGGCATCAGGAGCACCAACAATATCAACGACAGTAACGAAAATTTGGCAATCTTGTTTCCTAAAAATGTGTGAAAAGAGAACAAGTGCACTGAAACATTTCTTGCAATTAAGGAACTAATTAAGTTCCAATACAAGTGCCCAACTACTATGGGCGGTGGGTTTTCGCAGCTCGACAATGCCGAAAGAAGGTACTGTATTCCGCCACTGTCATTTAAAAACTAGCGCCACGTTGATGTGATAACCTACCTCGTTAAAAAACACTAGTTTTATTCTGGTAACAGGAAAAGCAGTAATAACCAACACTGCCCAGAACGTGGTATTCCAGTTGATTCACTCGTTCAGCTACTGGTGTATAGTTAGGCCATCTGATATCTCAATATCGATGAGTCTCCGAGCCTGTGCCTCAAAAGGGAGAAAGTCTTATAAAGGGAAACTATTCACAAGGTTGCTGAAAACTCTGACTCAGCAACCTTGTGAGTAGTTTCCTTTATGAAAATATACTTCGATATCTCGAATATCGTGCCAACTGAATCATGAGGCGGCCTGTGTGCAGCACATTCAGCTGGAGAACATCATAAACGAGAGATTCAATTGAGTCTCCCGTGAAAACCAAATTGATTTGCAGATGAGTGTATTTCTCGAAAACAGTGCAATTTGGGTTCAAGTAGATCATAAGGTTGACGGAAACTCGGGGACTGCGCCTACCTGATGAGCCCCAAGAAGGGCGAAACCGGTCGTGGGATGTCAGAGAGTTTTCAGCAACCTTGTGAGTAGTCTCCTTCATGAAAATATACTTCGATATCTCGAATATCGTGCCAACTGAATCCTGGGGCGGCCTGTGTGCAGCACATTCAGCTGGAGAACATCATAAACGAGAGATTCAATTGAGTCTCCCGTGAAAACCAAATTGATTTGCAGATGAGTGTATTTCTCGGAGAAAGATCTCGTTCCACCTGCGTCTTCAGGTGCATTTTAGACTCCCTCCACCAAGTCGACACCAAAGTGGCGCTTCCGACAGGTAAACCACTGAAAATTAGGCACGAGATTATCCAGATCTTGCTGCGCCGCAAATGACCGTGTGACAACTGCGGCTCTCAACAAAATACGAAGCAAGCACAAAAACCTAGCACAAAGTTGTCAATTAACTTGCACAGTTTTCATTACATTCACACAATAGTAAACCGAGGATTGTCGTGTAGAAAGGAAACTCGTGGCTAAACTTACACGCATTAACGACACCAGGGAACGCAATAGCCATCCGAGTGACAACCACGATCATGCCTGACGGCATGCCGCCAACAAGTTAGGAATAAAGATTATTTGTATTATTATTGTTAAAACGCATACAATGAAATTGGTTTCAACAAACTTACTAAAATGATGTTAATTTTAGGTAATCTCGAGGCTTCGAAGTGCTACATTTCCATATAAGAGTTTGCTCTGTTTTTGGGAAATTTTCGATGCATATCTAAGAATGTCTATGCGACCATTCACAGGTTGCTAGACAGCCTATGCGATAAATGGTTTCCATTAATTCTTTTCTTCCAGATGACTGTGTGCCATTGGGTGGAAACTGTACGAAAACTTTGTTCAACAGATGTTGTGGGGATGCTGTCTGTGATCTTCGGGAACCGTTCAAGGGTATTTGCGTGGCATGCTACGAACTTGAACATGGTTGCCTGTCCAGTGACGAGTGCTGCAGTAAGCGGTGCCACTTTTTCCGATGCAAACCAAAAGAGTAGCGAACCTCATGGTACCAAATGGGTAGAAAGAAAATACAAATTTTTGGTGCGAAAGTCACATTTTTATGCCAAATTTCGTGTGTGAATTATCAACACATTTGGTAAAACTTAATCTGTATGTTTTTCCTTCTGATAAACTCTTGGGTAGAAAACTAAATATGACCAATGGGCGACAAACTGCTTTCAATGACGGTTTTGCAAGAAGCATTCGTGTGAAGAGTAACACTTCCCAGCTGATTGCCAAGTGCCGCCATTTATTTTGGGGAGAATCGTTGAAAATGAGTGGGCTATAGGCAGCGTGTGCGATTGTAACCTACACTTGTTTGGATCACCGGAGCGGAAGCTTAAGTTCAAATGGGTTTGTAAACCACACTAACATTTTGAGAAAATATTCTCGGTTTATCACAAAAAAATGATAAACATTGGAAAAGATAACCATTAATTACGCGAAGCAATGGTTTATATTTCTCCATTCCTCAGACTAATTCATTTCCTTTCCGGTGACTGCTCCAGTTTCAACACCAAACTATTCTAGGTTATACAAGGTCGACTCTGTATTAACTGTTTTCATGACTCGATTTATTCACATTCATTTCTGGGTTCGTTGTTGAACATTTTGTTCCACTTTGAACTGCACATTTTTCCCACCCATTTTGTCCTATGGCATACTACCCTTTCGGTGCCATACTCTGTAGCTAACTGCCCAAGGTTCAATCCAGCCGTGAGGCTTCCTTTAATTCCGCTCATTATTTACCGTTAATTTCTTATAGAACCACGGTCTACTTATCTATACTATCTGCTCACGTCTAATTCGATATGTTGTTTGCTACCCGATTACGACTACTGAACAAACGCAGGTAGAGTTCGCAGAACTCGGTTTCGCCACAATTATTACTGACCGTCCTCGTTACCTAATACAAGGTCGACTCTGTATTAACTGTTTTCATGACTAGATTTATTCACATTCGTTTCTGGGTTCGTTGTTGAACATTTTGTTCCACTTTGAACTGCACATTTTTCCCACCCATTTTGTCCTATGGCATACTACCCTTTCGGTGCCATACTCTGTAGCTAACTGCCCAAGGTTCAATCCAGCCGTGAGGCTTCCTTTAATTCCGCTCATTATTTACCGTTAATTTCTTATAGAACCACGGTCCACTTATCTATACTATCTGCTCACGTCTAATTCGATATGTTGTTTGCTACCCGATTACGACTACTGAACAAACGCAGGTAGAGTTCGCAGAACTCGGTTTCGCCACAATTATTACTGACCGTCCATCGTTACCTATCAGATCGGAAACCTGGATCATGCGTTTAGGCTAATTGACCAAGTCTTTGCCTTGAGATCACGGCCCCAGCACAGAATATGCCGAAAACTAATGTTTGTCATTCTGGTACTGGTTGTCGGCAGAAGTTGTACCTCATCAGCACATTTGGAAAACGGCTTCTCTGAACGATATGGCATCTGACATCCCGTTCCAATATGTCAACAGCTTTGTATTCTCAATTTTCATGCGAACATTGTGAATAATACAACTTTTCACCCACAACCTGGTAATAGCTATGTAACCTTAGGCCGGTAAGCTGTTCAGTGTCACTTATCATATTTCATTCTGCTATACTCAAATAATTTTTGGGTACTTGGGAGCAAAGGTTTGAGAAAAGGATGAGTTAAGAAAAAACGAGAGTGAATGACACCAGATGAGAAGATAAAATGCACCATTTGCCTCAACAACCCAAAGTTGGACCAAACAGCAGCAGCTTAATGAAAGGAAGCAACGATAATCAATATATTTCCTGATGATCAATCATCATTATGGTATGGTATGAAAGGCAGATTCGAGGACGGATTTCAACTCGCAGTCCCTCGTATACTGCGCGGACCTCATCGTAGTCTCTGCTCATACCATTGTTCCCCGCGTATCACCTGCCACTATCCGTCCGCGGGTTTTGAGTAATTGTCCCACACTACTTATATAAAAAAGTGACTTCGTTGAATATCTTCAAAGCGGAATTTCGAGGTGGACCATAGGCTGTGGAAATGTCCGGATATGGTGACGTCATGAGACCGGTGTTACGGATTTAACCAGGGTTTTATCCTTACTTGCTAGCCCATTGTTCTATTGCTAATTTTTTTGTCGGTTCTCAACTGCTGAGGTGATTTGAACCACAACACACGCCTTCGAGGTTCTTGGTCGGGAAAATAAACCGAACTGAACTTAACTGAATAATTCAGTGGAGTGAACGCATTCGAACTGCAGAGCGATGTCTTGGAATCACCGATCATCAACAGAGAACCTCTCGAAAACCGCTAAATGCAGCCGTAGGTAATCTTAAAATTCCACCTCGTGCATAAAATTTACATATTTATTGGAACGGTACTCAGCAAAAAAGTGCTGCGATACATCGGTCGGTGCTATTGAGAAAGACAGATTGAAGTGTCTGCAGAAACAATGTGGAGTTGATCAAGGTAGTAGAAAATGCACTTGGTTGGGTAAATGAACAGCGGTCACGAATGTGAGTGAAAGGGGATATTTGGACGGGTACGCGTGTGTTCTTCTTCGGACAGCAACGGTACAGCGTCTGTATACAAAGGGTCGTCAACAAAAGCTCTGTACTTCGGTACTTGGATACCCAGACAATCGTGCATTATCAGCTGAAGGATTTGATCACAGGAAGAACGAATTACCAGATCGGCTAGACCATCTTTACATGTCGGTTGCAGGTTGACAATTGCCAAACGACAGCGATCAACATCTAAGGAGAGGCTGTTAGTCACATTTGGAATACATTTGCTAAGACACCGTCCAAGGCCTTGCGGCCACAGGAAGTGATAGTTGCGTAACACGCACAGCGAAGAGCCAAGGACAATGATGAGAGTCGCTGGAGAATCAAAAGTGGGGTCATAAGAACTGTCTGGTAGGTTAGACAGCTTGAACGCGGGAAGCATTTGCCGAAACCATGGGGAATTCATTAACGACTTTGATATTGGATTATCCAGCTTGGGATCGAAATAAGAATGGTTCAGGCATGACGCTATACACGAACGTAATTGACTACGACCATGAACCGCCTCAATGGCAGCCGAAACGCGGTAGATTTCTGCCAGACCGGCCTCCGGCTGGCGCTCGTAGAAATGTACAATGACATCTCGAAGAAGGGGAGCTTCGTGAGAGGTGTCAGCGTCCTCCGACCTAGACATTCTGACTGTCTTTGAAAGTTTGGTAGCTACGTGCTTCTGAGCAAGCATAATTGCCGCCGGAGACTTCGGATTTCGCTTCGATTGCAAATGTTTCTCCACAGCAGCGCACAGCGTGTGGTAGGTGAGAAGACACTCACCCGGACGTGCAGCACGACACTTAGGGCAAATCCGACCAGTAATATGCCGACCTCGTCCGGTGGTTTCAGCCACATCGAAATTGCGCATGATCACTGAGTTGCACGCAATGCATTGCTGAGAAATTAAAAAAACAGGGAAGTACAAGACAGAGGGTCAACTGCACGCAGAAACTTCAGGAAAAACCCATATCCAAGGTAGAGTAGGAGCTGACCACTCTATAGACTCACCACTCTCGATTTTCAACATAGAAAAAAGAGGGTTTCTAATAAAACAAACGATTTCTATGTGCCCCTTCAATATTTCAACAGAGGTCTGTGCCAAGTAATTAGCGTCCACCGAGAACATTTAAAACAAAAGATTCACCAACAACGAAGCTGACTTTCAAAACTAGAAGTACTGTCTATGGTGAAGACGCGATGTTAACAGCCGGTGGCATCCATGGACACCACCTAGAAGTCAAGACAATATTCTCGTTACTACCTAATGAACGGTTAGCATCCCAACCGAATTTCCCAGTCAGCGGTGATCAAGCCACTGGATATCAGTTCATAGTAAGCAGCCACAGACCGTTCGCGCAGATGCAAATGTGGAAGCATAAATCCTTGGCACCGGTGTAAACCTGAGGGAACAAGATGGGTGAGCAAATGTGCAGAAGCTTGTGGCAAGCGATCAGCCGGCCCGAACATGATGGCACAACAAACTTGTGTATCATCAAGGTATCGGCATCATCCGTGAATTCCTTTAGGCTTCAGTATGACACTGCATCTCCGCAATGTAGCAAATGTTCTTGGGAGTTGCTCGATAACACATAGCAATTACGTGGTCCTCATCCGAAAGGACACCAAACTTACTCGCCAAAATCTCTCCGAGGCCGCACGAACTTCTACAGGTCGCAAAAGCCAGCTTGGTATGAAATGGGAACATTCTTACTGCTATCAGAATAAATTGGATGAGACCGCATAACAGCCTTCGCGCGCTTTCTCACTGCCTGACATCCATGGTTTCACCAAAGTGAAACCATTTGTTCAAACGCGCATTCACTCATACCACTGTGAGATGAACGGGGCAAACAGTTCCGTACATTCAGCGTACCTCTGACGAAGATATTGTTGCCAAGATGGGTGTCGTGTTTGTAGTGAAACCACCCACTAACTACCATGACAGTGTTAATAAACCTTAAAAAAATAATACAAAATACCATATACGTAAGGAGACCTCCGAACAGAGACCAGTTAGTCCTATTAGAAGCTGATCTATCTTGAAGAGGGGAAACACTTCTTAATAATACATGTAACTCAACGTCACAGGGAGGCTAACGCCCCAAGTTCATGACCTAATTTCGCATCACCTGCAATTTAACAAAAAAAGACACTATCAGCACAGAATTTAAGATAAACGGTTTTGGGAGCCAAAATTTTACGGAGTCCGACCGGAACTGTAACTTTTTAAACCAAATCATAAAGCTCCAAAATATGTCCATTTGCTTCATCATCCATGAGGGCCAACCTAAAAAAAGTCCGTTGGTGGCGTGCGATTTTGGAATCTCTAACGGAGAATTCGTCCCCTAAATGGAGCCAATGTATGCTGAAAACCGAGGAGTACTGTACAGCCGTTCCTTATCGGGGTTCATCAGCAGTGCGTGTCCCACCAAGCCCTAGGGAGCCCCGAATCCGCGACCTCCAGGCTGTTAATCATTCAGTCACGCATTTTGGTAAACACGTGCGTTGACTTAATAGTAATACTTTTATGCTGGTCGACATTGAATTGTCTCACATTTGTTGCGCTCTGATGAGACCAAAGCTGGTCCTTTCTGGAAAGCAATCTCTACTCAGAGGACTGCAGTTGTTGAGAGAAGCTTCAAGGGACCAAACAATGATGGTCTATTATGAGTGACAGTGCCCGATAACCAAGGTTTGTCCAGAGGAGGACAACACTGGTATCGAGGCTGTCTTAAGCCCTTATTGAGTTTAGACAACTGTATTGATTTTTCGACTGATGTGCATGATGTGGCAACATCAAGTGATTTTCCTAGTGTGAGGTTGTTTTGGTAACCCTCAGAGGTAGCAGTCAGGGTTTTGCAATTCTAGCTGTCTCACTCATGAGGGATAACCACCTAAACTATCACTCAAAATCAATTAAGCTTTCTTAGTCCCAAACTTATTTCCAAGGTTTTACGACTAGAGTGAGGACTTACAGCTTAACGGAACAACAGGCGTGCTGATCTCATCTGTTACAGAACTACATTTCCCAAATGTCAAAGAAGTCAAAAAAGTCAATAACTTCGAAAGAATGTTCCCACGGATAGCGTAAGATCTCCCATTTTAAGTAGGATGTGTTGTCACGTAACCATGGACATCACTGCGATTGCCGGCGTGAAATCCAACAGTTTGTTTATATGTTTCAAGACAAAGTGTATCCCCTCCGGAACCAACATCATTAAGGAGACATTCCGCAAGACTTTCAGTAAGTCCCCCAAGGCGTACTTAAACTATCAACTTCTTCTCATCTGCATCATTTTGGCACCTCATGAATAAGTGGTTTGTTAGGTTCTGTTTTGTAAGTGAAGCCAAACAGTTCCCGAGCATTCCCAGCAGCATTAGCTTTCTCCGTTTCCAGAGGCTCTTGGTTACATCAGGTATCTCTGTTTACACGCAGACCTGACGAATAACAGGTCTCCTGGTTTAGTATGCTTGGCATCCAAACGGATGCGTTTCGCATCAATGGGTAAAGCGAATTTTGAAGTCCGGTGAACAACTGCTGGGCTCCACATACCGAACTTTTGCCGTATGAATGGCGGTGCTTATCTCGTCCCGGTCACGTCTCCCAAGAATGCATTTTGTAAACCTATATTATATATACGACGAGATGTTGAGTTCTTTTACCTAAAGGGTTTTTCGACTGCTGAAAGAGAAAGTTGTATCTCTGGTTCTTCAGGGAAATTTGTCAAAAACTTACACCCAACCTGAAAACTCCAGGAAGATTGATAGTAAAAATAAAGTGCCATCGTCGGCAGTCACTAGGCACATAGTCAATCTCGCTCAGTGATCGGTCAACAGTAGTAGAACGTCAGGTAGCGAAACGACATCTACTGATTAATTGCAGGTGGTTGTTGGATTTGTGGAATTCACATTCACATTACTCTTATTTGAACAGTCCGCCTCGTGTCTTGGGACAACTATCTTCGTAAGTCCACACCGAATGGGGGAATCACTGAACTCAAATTCCATTCTTCTTGAAGTTTATCGGCAGTGCATACACTTAGGCTCGAATATAATATGCCAGAAGTTTAAACCTCGGCAGCCGATGAGCTCAAATAAGTGAGAGACGTGAGTCCATTACTTTCCTCCATTGGCATAACTGTGCCGGAACAGAAGGACTGTTCAAATTAGATTGATGTGGACGTGACGTCTACAGAATCTAAACCTGATGGTGAGAGAACAATATGAACCTACAGGAGACTACCACCACTGTCATTATGCCTTGATCCCAAGCTAAGCAGGCCACCAAGAAGCACCTCTGATGAGATGATGTCTCTTAGTGACAACTAACGTAAATAGCGACGGTTCGGTTGTACATAATTGCCACGCCATCCGAAGAAAGCACGAGAGCTTAGATTGCCTAAGCCTAGACAGGAGCAGTCGACATCCTAAGGTTAGGTTCAAACCAAGGACCTTCTGTCAGTAAGTTCGTGGCTTGACCACTAAAATACCTCCGAAATTCCGGCGATTAGGACCATATCTGTACTCCTCATCCTGAATAAGACAGTTGTTACTACCTGATAAAAGATATGTTTCGTTTGAATAAGGGGCGCAGCTGGTTGGTGCCCATGAAACTTAGGCGGACATTATTTTGACTAGTGAGGGTTTTTATAAACTTTGACAGACAGAAATAACTTGTTTTCGCTCATCTGTCATATACAGCAAACAAGGCGATTCATTTGACTGCATAATTGGACGCCCAATGTGGCACGAAATTGTCGGTAACTGTGACGCTCATGATTCTCCGCTAAGGTACTGTCAGGGCGACCAAACCTAGACAGAAAGATGATTAGTACCCTCAGTAAAATCTTTGGGTTCAAAAGCCTGGTCGCAAGATCGTTGACTTACGACTACCACTGTAGTTCAAACTCTAAGGAAAAGGTCGCTGCACGTGTTCTAAAACTCCAATCTGAAGGACTGTATTAGTCTAACCTCTACCCACTGAACAACTTGGCACGATGGTCTCTGAGAGCACCACATGGAAATCCCCCAGTATAGCCTAATGGGTCACGGAGACGCACAAACTACCACACCACGGTGAGGTCCAGTTCGTCCTTTAGGAGAGTTCGAAACCATTTACTAATTAAACACAGCAGTTCTCGTGAGACAATGAGATGGCCCTAAAATTTTAGAACCCCAGCTGAACACAGCGAAATCACTCAGGAAGTGGTCTTATTTACCGTAGAGGTTGAATGCAGCTTGGCGTTTCAGCATCAAAGTTGGTCGGAATAAGTTGCTAGTAAATAACTTTAACCAAACGTACTCCACAAAATTTCCATGGGAAAACATGGTATAACCCTGTATCGGAACTTCATCCTTCCATCCTCTTCACCGTTTTCTTGTTTCTATTGGAACATGAACCATATCCGATTAACATGTACGACCAAATGCACTCCTTGGGGCATAACCACGCGTGTGGTGGTTTTTCTTCCCACATTAGATGCACTCATCATAAAGAACCGATGATCCATTAACACGAGAAATCCTATGCAGTACAACTTTGATGGCTTCCATGATTCACCAAGCATCAAGTGTTCACGGGAGTGAGCAACAGAAAACAGCTAACAACCTACCTCCAAGAAGAGATTCCCATGAAGTTCCGAGAGCTTGTCTCGAGGTAGCCCACTCCGCACATGTAATCCATCCACATTTTGAGAAACCACGTGGCGCACCTGGGAAAGCAAACGTAGCGCTAATGCCAAACAAGTAAAACGGATCATAGGCCATACTGAAGATGAGCACGTGATTACAATCTCAAAGCAGCATCTACGAAAATTATTTAGGGTCCACTCGGACCTACCAATATACCTGTGTGGACGTTAGCTAAGATTTCTATACAACAATCACTGACAGGAAGGATGGAAATGGTCGTTTCGATGGGATAGATTCTACGGTGCTGTGAGTGGTGTTTTCAGCAAATTTTCAACGGAAAAACCGGAACCATTCGCCAGGTTTAGAAGGGTTCCCAACGCAGATGAAGACGCGACAGCAAACTTGTCTTTCATCAGAAAGATAGGGACTGAATTCCAGAAGAAATTCCATTTGACCAACCTTTCGAACTGTGCCACCTGTTTATACGTGAAAACCGAAAGGCTCGTCCTGGAACGCTCCCAGTGAACACACTATTGCGTGTGTCTGTGATGGTGTGTGGAAAGGAATATGAAAAGGCTGACAGATGACACCAGTACCACACTGCTTTATTCGGTGCATGTGGTCGATGTGATGCCGTCAGATGTGGGCCGGCTGGTTGACGTCATCAGATCTTTACCAGCTTGTCCTCCGATCATACTCTTGAAAGTTTCCATCGGATCCCAGGCCCGCCAGTAGTAACACATCTGGCTGCGCGCACACTGTTGGTGTTACCCTAACTATGCGCAAGCAGCTGTTGACAAACAAACCGCATCGGATACCAGCCTACCGGAGGGCAAGTTTATTCCATTTTCTAATGACTACTTGCTGGACAATGTCGTCCCAAGGATGGCAAAGTCGTTAACCACAAGACTATTTATGGTTGCCTCTGAATGGCTCCCTCCAACACTTTCATGACGCTATATTTGGAGAGGTAGTATTTGGCTGGAACTGGAGGGAGTTGATTTAGGATGCAGGTACCTAGATGAAAATCGGGTAACTGCTGCCGGTACCCATTGTTATGACACCATGTTTAGGCTGGCTGATCGCTTGCAACAAGCTTATGCACAATCGCTCACCGATCATATCCCCCAGGTACCAAGGATTTATGCTACTACATTTGCACCAGCGCGAACAGTTTGTGGCTGCTGCACCGACACTCAGTGGTTTTACCACTGCGGACCGGAAAATCCTGTCAACAGACCTGACGCAAAACGCGTCATATAGCACAGGAGAAAACAATTGTGCATGAATCAAGATAAGGAAATAGTAATAGGAATTTTTGTGCTTCTTTTTTCAGCAGACCTTTTACGTATTTCTGTCCTTTTGTTTACTAAATTAACCGGTAATAACTGCAACTTTTGGAACATTCAGTCAATGGACTTCGATTGCGAGCCACATTCGTAGTTTTCTAACCAGTGGCAATCAGAGACTGGATGGCCAATTCAGTCGCCACTTGTGTTCTCTTTTTCTAAACACAGCCAACATGTATAAACAACTCAATCAGAAACCGCAAACACCGGATGGGCATGTGTTAATAGTATCCCAACCACCTTAATTGGTATAATGAAGAGGTCGCGCTTAAAGTGTATCTCTCAGAGCCCAAGGGTCTTTGATGCACCGAGCCACTGCTTTGTTGTCGTCTGATGAGCACACTGCCATGCAACCAGCAATTTTCAAATACAATCAGTCAGTGAGCGTCATCTAGGCTAGCCTTCACATCCACACGAGAAAACAATACATCAGGGCACATAATCTACCCTTCAAAGAAAAAACAGACGGTACAGACATGCACGCGCCCAGGCGATTGGCTGTGCAGGGTCTTTTTGCAAGAACTTACAAAGGAAAGTATACAGCTCCCATGGTTGATTGTATCACCGCTTCAAAGGAGCGAAGGCATAGATCTCTACCAACTCATTGTAAACGAGCGAAACACGCTGTGCTGTTCAAATCCAGCCGCTAGCCGGTCTAAGACAACGCGTCACCTCATGCACCTTCATCAGTCACCGAACATATCTATCGGGTGCCCCAAAACTTAGCAAGCAGTTCCAAGAGGCAATTGGGTCAAAACTCCCGATGAACTGTAGAGGCAAGGAGAGTTCTTGAAAAGAACTCTACTGGAGGACAGCTATACAGACGCTTTGCCTGAATACACAGTCCGACTCACCACTGTCAAAAATGGTAGATTGCTTGAGATTACAATCTAAAGGGATCAGATATCCCCAAAAACCAAGCATAAACTGAGCGTAGCCCCAAATGCTAGCGTTCAGGGACGTAATGCCAGTTCCGTGTGCGTAAAACACACTGACTCAAACATGTCTACCTTGGTACTAACCCTGGACTGAACCTGTCTCTCCGAATGTCTTCACATTTTTTCACTTTATTCATTTCTTCACTTCTTCCACGAAATTAAACTATAAATGGATGTGTGACGAAAGTAAGGGAAAGATCTCCCCAATTACATCTCCCCATGGTCCTGAGCCTCTAACGTGTTTCGCCTGAATAGTCTGACATAGCAGCTAGCTTATGTACTAAGCTGTTCTTTCCTTAGCTTTGTATTTGTATGACCCAGGGAAGAAAACTCTGACAAGCCGTTTATATATAATCGCAGTGCACTGCCTGTGAGCTAGAGACGCAGAAGGAATCCAGAATGGTAGTCCAGCACGCGACTTCTCCATCGCAGTAGGGTTTATTTGTGTCCAGGATTGTCATGTGGAGGCACGGCGTCATACAGCAGAGCGGCGATTACAGTGTCGAAATTTTGTTCTGGTGGGATATATGTGATATGAACACAAACTAATAAGCCCCAACAAATTATTTAAGTAACAGCTACCCAAACCAAACTTGCGTAACAAATGTGCATTTTCGACTCGTGCACTCAGGGGGCGAGATGGTTCAAGTGGTTAGAGCGCGAATTTACTGACCGGAAGGTCCGTGGTTCGAACCCGACCTCTGCATCTCGACTTCCCCTGTCTAGGCTTCGGCAACCTGGCAGTATCCCAGCCCTCGTGCTTCCTTAGGGTGGCATGGCAGTTAGACACCGAAAGGGCGTTACAGCTGAACGATATATATACTTAGGTTCGAGGGCCGGATGTCTGTGTGACGCACAGATTTCTGGAGCAGACTGTACAATCACTGGCGAAAGCCGCTTTTGATCACTTGGTTTACGGTCATTTGTTACTAAGTCTACGCCACAAGCAGACCGCGATACGTTGCGCAAAGCCCATTTTCCATAGACACATAGCCCAACAATGCAGGCTTACTACTCAAGGCTACCAGGGGCTGACGCTACTGGATTCACTGACAGATCGCGGGGAAACGCTTCCCTTGGAACAAGTAGAGGGTTCAACCGAACGACGCAAGTAGTCGAATTCGGGTGTCTTCCAACCACTACATACACACATCTGAGAACTCTAGACGTCGCGCCAGGACTGCTTTGTGACCAGTGTGCATTGAAGTTTCAACATTGGATAAAACTAATTTAAACGGAGTGCGCGGACGCCGAGAGATAATAGAGGACGGTGGGTTTGTCATCTAGTGCTAACAGCAGAACAAGATATTCCTTGGACGTGCTGTTTAGTAGCCGCAGTCGATTACCAGCAGGAATCAGGAAGCTGGAAGTAAATGTCCAGG